CGTATGATCGAAAGTTGGAAGTGAATGGAGGGTCAAATACTAACCGGGCGCTGGCTCCGGTGCGACCGGACGTTGGCCACAGGGTCGGGTCAGTTCATTTGACCGAGGAGATTGCGTCTGGTGTGACCGGACGCTGAGAGGTTAAGTGACCGAAAGCTGAAAGCCTGCGTTCGGTCGACTCCAGTAAGGTTCCAGAAGAGTGAATCTGTGACCGGACGCATCCGGTCAATACTGACCTGACCCTGAGGATCCAGCGTCCGGTCGAGTACAGTAAGCATCCAGTGAGGGAAAAATGGGACCGGACGCGTCCGGTCAGTGGTGACCGGACCCTGCCAGCGTCCGGTCAACACTTAAACACTGGTGTGCGAGTTGAACTGACCGGAGCGTCCGGTCAACATGACCGGATCGTCCGGTCACCCCGTAGAGGCACATAACGGTTCGTTTTTCAGCCCTTGTTATAAATAGAAGCTCCACTCGTGTGTGGAGTGACTTTTGCTCATTCCAACAGCTGAGAAACACGTTTGTGAGTGCAAAGAAGAGCAAGGTCCTAGTGAGGTGATTGAGATTTGAGAATCCAAGAGAGTAGCCTCATTAGTGAATCAAGAGTAGCAAAGTGTGCATCCACCGTTCTCATTAGGCTTCGCGTGGTCAAGTGAGAGTTTGTTCTTGTTACTCTTGGTGATCACCATCACCTAGACGGCTTGGTGGTAATTGGGAGCTTGGTGATCACCCGGTGGAGCTTGTGGGTGACCCAACTGAAGTTATGAGCGGTTGTGGGTGATTCACCGCGACGGAGTGTCGAAGAATCAACCCGTAGAGAGCACTTGATCCTTGCGCGGATCAAGGGGGAGCTACACCCTTGCACCGGTGCTCCAACGAGGACTAGTGGGGAGTGGCGCCTCTCCGATACCTCGGCAAAACATCGCCGCGTTTCCTCTCCTCTCTTTACCTTGAGCATTTACTTTGAGCATTACTTTGAGCAATTCAATTCTTATCATTTACATTCCTAGAATTGTCATGCTAGAGTAGGATTGGAACTTAGGTTGCAAGTCTATTTGTGCGATAGAACATTAGAAACACTTTCTAGGCACAAGGGGTTAATTAGGCTATCAATAGGATTTAATTATTGCAAGAAAATTTAGAATTAGCCCAATTCACCCCCCCCCCCCTCTTGGGCATCTTGATCCTTTCAAATACAACAAGATTATATGTGCCTATCAACAACTAGGATATGGAAAGTGGAAATTCAAAGGCACTTACACTCAAACTCTTACCAAGTACTTACAGGTTCTTCAGTAGTTGGTGCAACTGGCAGCTGGGTCAGCCTCCAACGATCTTTAGTTTTGAGTTCAACCAATGCAAGCTTATGTTACCTGAATGGTCAGTAGAGAGTGTAGTTAGAGCAGGTTTATTTATGTAGCAAGGATTAGACAAAATCAAATTAGTAGATGCTAAATTAAAAATCTGCTCAAAGTCCTAGTCAACATTGCTGGCCCTATAGAAGACTAAAAGCTGGTTAACAAGCTTAGAAAACAAGGGATGGAAAAGAGCTGCACTACCACTTCTATTTTTTTTTCAAAAGTGCAACTCAATCACAGGCTATAACTAACTTAGTTTTGGCAAGAAAACCAAAAGTAGAACAGCAAAACAAGTGCACACTTGCTGTTATTCAAATGGTCTAGCACTAGAACAATCCAGACAGAATATGACTCCTCTCTTTCTTTCTTTCTTTCTTTCCTTTTTTTAACTCTAGTGCTGTATTTACTGTAGCCTAGCACTTGCAGCTGGACAACTATCTCAGCTGCTATGGTTGCCAAAGACAAATTTACTTTCTCTTCTTTCTTTTTCAAGATAGATCTCAACTAGAAGCTTTAAGCAAGAACTATGACCAGCAACTTAACATATGACAATGCAACCCAAAGATTCAACAAAGCATAAACTGAAAAGAGATTGCTAACTAGGCTCAAACTAGTTTGGATAGGGTGTGGCAAACTCTCTCTGTTTTTTTGGATTATAGGTAAAAGAACACTACAACTACTAAAAACTCAGTCTCACTGATTAATCATTGCTCCGATACCAGTTGATGTGAAATTTTAGAGGCCCAACCTTTCAGTGAGATGAGATGCCTTCTAATTGTGAGGGTGACTCACACGTTCCAGGCTACTGACCAAGAGATTCTAATAGCCTAGCAACCACTGAACCAACCCTTGAGATGTTATCAGCCTAGCCAAAATCAAGCTGACCTGACCACTAGGGTCTGTTCCTGCAAAAAATGGAAGAAAACCAGCAAGAACAAGGTGCAAGCAATCCGAAATTGCAAGTATGCAGTGAAATATTAATATGGGGCTTTGAGTAGAGGTTGATATGTTGGTCTAACCGACACAAGAGACAACACAAGCAGTAGTTTCCAAAGGAACTAAACTGAACTAAAACAAAACCCAACTCTTACATATGGAGGTACCCCTCCTTTTATAGCCAAAATAGTTGCTACTAGAGTGCATGCTACTACAATGTACTGGCAACACCTAATTCTATTACTACTGTTAATATGGAGGTTGTTCCACGAACGTGGACAGCTAATAAGTAACAAACAAATAATTTAGCCTACAAATAATTTAGCCTACTATACTCTAGCTGGCTGCAAGCGGTGACTGCCTGTGGATAGTCACAAATACAGCAAAAAATATCAGCTCAAATATCTTTATCTTCAACACCAAGGTTCCTGATTAGGAGCACATTTCGATCTCTCTTGTGTAAAATTTGTGAATTGCTGGCCTAGCTTCAGGTGTGGAATGGATGGTACTGTAGCTATAGGTGGTGTGGTTGTATCCGTAGAAGTGATGTCCTCGTCAGAAAGGGCACGTCGTAACAAAATATGGTTTTATCAAGTAAAGGAAACCATTCAGCCTGAGCTAAAATACATGACTACAAGCTCTCAACAAAGCATTTCTCTTTTCTGTGGAAATACCTCAGGACCTCACCATTCTATGTGTACACTTGCAGTGTAACTAAGCAATCCCACACATAGAACAATTTTCATATCAATTTAACAGAAGAATGTGAATCAAGAATATATATGACCTGCGTAAGTTCATGTGTTCAATATTCACTTCATCGCATGATTGGTCATCCCCATGTGTACTTTATAATGGAACTAATCAGAACTGAGTGCAATTTAGAATGCAAATTCACATAATTCAGAAGTTGCAAATGCACACTCGTTAACTTGTGCTCTACATGGACCAGTTAAATAACTCTGAACTTGGCAGTGGGGCCCAAGGTAGCATCGATCTAGTATTATGTGGCAAACTATACTGCATAAATGGAGAGAATGACTCAGTTGCATCGATCTGGTTATTATTGTTGTGCTCTACTATGCTGCATAAATGGCAGCAGGTACCAAGGTCAGGAGGACAAAAGGAAGTTGTTCCATTTGTGAAGCCATGAGATGCAGCTAAGTTAGACAAGTATAGGGAACTTTTTTTCAGATGAGTATAGGACCATTGGATATATGCCAAGAATGGGATTTTTTTTAGACAGAGGATGCCAAGAATGGGGTATGCAGAGGGGGGAGCATATGCCACCAAGGCACTAATCAATTCAGGTATGAATGACTCAGTAACTATTAGGTAGTGATATAGGCTAGTAATGATGTTTTGCAACATTGGCCATTGGAATTCAGGACAAAGGATACTAACCACTACATGTGATTATGTATAATGTAATGTCTGCTACACATTTTCAAGCAATGTTATAAATAACAGTGAGCCAGTTGCCATCATACCTTACAATGTTTGTGTGGTATGTGACCTTGTAAGCAGTTCGATAGCTACCTATATGTGCAGAATAAAAACAATTAAACAGATACTTCAAGATCTTAGTTCACATATTGTTAGTTCACATATAGTTATGTAAGAGGTCATTAAATTTCATTCGAATGCCTATAGATATGATAACCTCAATTCCTCAAAGAAAAAGTAGTCCCTCAGTCCCATTGAAAGCATCGTTTTTGACTTTTAGACTCTTGTTTGACTGTTCGTCTAATTCACATTTTTTGTATAAATATTATTTATTTTGTTAACTTATTTATTATTAGAGATACTTTACTAATGATTATTTATTTTATTATTTGCATAAAAATTTTGAATAAAACGAACAGTCAAACAAGAAGTCTAAAAGTCAAAAACGGCACTTTCAATGGGACGGAGGGAGTATTTATTATGGAGCATACATGCATGCAATTCAAGGCCCACTCAACCATTGCATCAGTCTATTTAACTGCTAAATGTAATCATTGTATCAGTTTAAATTGTAAGTCGTTTTAGCTTTGTCCTAAGTCAAACTTCTCTAACATTGACCAAGTTTATAGAAAAATGCATAAACATCTGCTACATCAAACTATATTCATTGCATACACCAGGAAATAATATTTTGATAGTGGATTCATTTGATATTGTAGATGTTAATATATTTTTCTATAAACTTGGTCTAAGATAACAAGTTTGACTTAAGACAAAGTCAATACGACTTACAGTTTCGAACAGAGGGAGTACTTAACTGCTAAATATAGCCACTAAGCATACAGCATCCTACCACAGCTGTTACTACTGTGTGTTCTGCCACTTGCAGGGTCATAAAGACCAATATTTACCGTGCTGGCAGCAACAAGATTGAACTGCAACTAGCATGCAGATGCAGGAAAATCACATTGGTCTGCAATGATACATGGAAACCTAAGATCACAGATTCCCATAAAAAGTGGTCTGTCTGGAGTAGTATTTATAAATGTTTCCACAAAAAGGCATCTTTCTACAACTCTTTTGAGCATTAATCTCTGAGGTGAGGGGTTCACTAGAACCCTTACAGCCACTGGATCTGCTAATAGCCAAATCCTGCAGCCAGCTACAATCTAATTCACTAATTGGTACTATTAAATTGCATGATGCTACACACAAGGTAGGACAGGTAAATCACATTGTTCCTGAATTCAAGATATATGGTCATCTAACATCATCACTCTCCATGAGTGGATTTTTAGATGCTGACCTCTTTGAGCTTTTAACGGAGGAATCTTTGGCCTTACCAAACTTCTTGATTGGCCTTTTCAGTGACATTGTATAGCTTTGCAGATTTTGCTGCCCTCTAAAGTTCTTCGACGACTGTACTACCTCATCAAAAGCCATGGACAGTGCATCTTTAGCGACTGCATAGATTTCAGAGGATTTTGAACCTTCTTTTGCAAATTTTACCACATGACAGCACAAATCATTGAACCTTGCAGTGGAAGGATCCTCACGGTCTCCCCTCAGATCAGTGTAGTTATCAGCGGTGACAATATTTTTTGCATGCTTTGTCCAACGTTTCAGGATATAAGCCTTTGGAAGGTCCCGTACTCCTTCAATAATGAAAATCCGGAGAGCATGCCTGCACAAGATACCACAGCTCTCAAACAGGCAGCAACTACAATTCACCGTGCTTCGATCGGGATTGAAATAGACGATATGTATCTCCTCATCACCTTCATATCTCTTGACACGATACTTGTGTACTGTATCATCATCAAGTCTCTCTGCATGGTACCCAAAAGAATCAATAAACTGCCCCTGAAATAAGGCAAATATTGTGCTAGTGAATATTGAACTCCCTTGTTTTTCTACTGGTGAGGCTGTACTCAACGCTGGCATTTGAAACATTGTGAAATAATCCGCCTGAACTTCAGCTTCAAATGAACTAGAAATTGCCTGTCCAAGTTGCCAAACTGCCACCCGCAATTCAGTCTTGGACGAAAAGTACTTCTCAATAGCCTTCTTGATACTTCCACATGTTGTTGGCATCAGGTTTCTAGGATAAAATGCCTTTTTTGTGTATGCCGGGGCCCATTGTTGGCGAATATCATAGAGAGACTGTAAAAGCTCATTGTTGCTGAGCTCATGCTTTATGATGACCGAGTTCCAACCTGAGTCAAACAGTTCTTCTATTCTGGACCCATCAATGCACTTCCTTAGATCAGTTACGAAAGCCTCTGGATCTGGGAACGTACCATGTAGATCCTCCTTCATTGTGTCTAAGATATGTTTTTCACAGAAAATATGGCGGGTATTGGGTAATACCTTGGCAACAGCAGCTGCCATTCCTCGGTTCAACTCTGTTAGCAAAGAAACAGGCGGACCCATGTGCATTGCTTCAAGCCATTTCTCAAACAACCATGTAAATGATGCTTCAGAGTCATCAAGAAGTAGTGCACAGCCAAAAACAACAGGCTGCACATGATGATTGACACCTGTGAATATGACGATAGGGATAGTCTCCTTGTTTTTCCGATATGCTGTCTCAAACCTAACAGCATCACCAAAATGGTAGTAAGCCATCCTAGCTTTAGCATCAGCCCAGAAGATATTGGCAGAGTGCTCATTCTTTTCATGCTGCACAGCATAGAAAAATGAAGGGTCCTCTTCCTGTCGCTTCTTAAGGTATTCAAATAGGCTTTGAGCATCCTCTGGCCCTAAATCATTATACCTCATCTCTCTAGGATGCTGAGAATCTTGGCCATTCAGAAGGAGATTACGTGTGTCCGCAAAATTATTTGCAATGACAAGTACCTCACCTTGTGACCGAACACAGTGAACTTTGCTTGCTGGTGCTGGGTTCAGCTCATGGGTATGCTCTAGGATGAGTTTGGAGACCGTCCAGGTATCTTTTCCCTTCCGAATTATCTCAAACAATGCATCGCAACCATCCCTCGAGGGGTCCAATGCACGTACTCTCTTGGTATCCTCTCCATTGTTCTCCCGCCCTGAATGGTATCGATGCCTAGAGCACACAAGCTTCAGCATCTTAAGTGACTCATCTTGCGACTTGCGGGACTGACGTACACGAGCTTCAAAACCCACACGGCTGGCATACGAGTAGTAGAATGTCTTGGCGGACTCAAGGGACTCGAATTCCATACCAATGTAAGGGTCAACCACAGTATCACTCTCGATGGCGATATACTGCACTCGACTGGGCAGCCCAACCTCATGATTGTGCTCCTTGACAAGCTTGGTAACAATCCACTTGCTATCACCTCTGCGGAGCACCTCGAGCATGGCATTGCAACCCTCCCTGATGGAGGCAGCGCGCTTCCTCGTCTTCTTCCCAGCCGCGACGACACGTTTCTCCTTACTGAACCCTTCCCTTGAGCACACAAATCTTAGCATGATAATGGACTCACTGCACTTAGACTTGCGTGACCGGGCAATGCGAACGGAGAACCCAACACGGCCAGCATAAGCAATGTAGAAGGTCTTGGCAGCCTCACCGGACTCAAACTCCATCCCCAGCCGAGGCTCCAGGCAGGCGTCGGACTCCACCGGGAAGAGGTCCCTACAGACGGACTGCGGCTGTGCCGCCGCCGCCGCCGCCGCCAGCGGTGGCTGAGCTTGGTGGTCGACGATCTGGACGCTGTGCAGCGGCATCTGGTCCACGTGGGGGCTGACACCGAGGGAAGCCCAGAAGTTGATGCTGTCATCCTCGAGGTCCGCCACCTGGGGCTCCATCATCCCGTGCCCCGCCGCCAGCTCCTCGACCTCCGTTACCCTCCCGCAATCTCCTTCCCCGTGTTATCTCCTACACTCCAACAGCAAACCAAAAACCATGGAAACTCCTCGCTGACGCCGGCCGCCACGCCCAATTCAAGAACCAATCCAACTCAGTGCGTGTTTGGTATGGCTCCCAGAGAGGCTCCGGCTCCGGCTCCTGGAGGAGCCATACCAAACACCACCGCCAAAAACAGCTTCGCCGGCGAAGCCGCTTGGGAAGCCGGAGCCCTTTTATACTGGGAAGGAGAAGCCACGAATCGAGGCTTCTCAGGGCTCCGTCTGACGATTGCGACAGCAAAGACGCGATTACCCTCCTCTATGCTCCTTGCTTGGCTCGTAGGCGACGCCGGCGTTGTCCTCCACCATGGAGCGAAGCCTTGGAGCAGCGGCAAAGGCGCTGTGCGGGCGAGCGGCGGCGTGTGCAAGGTGCTGTGGGAGACAGCGCGCGGCGGCGTGGGAGAGGGCAGCTCTGCGTGGGAGAGCGGCGGCGCAAGCGGCGGATGCACTGTAGATCGAGCGGCGGCGGCTGTAGGTGAGAGTTCTTTGAGACGAGCGTGCGGCTTATTGAAGGGACAAGATAGGGTTTTTTTAGGAGAAAAAAAGGGACAAGGTAGGTAGAGGGTGCGGGCCATTTTGGGCCTTGGCCCATACGGTGTCTGATTGTTTACTTTAAATATTGTTTACTAAGTTATCAAAAAAATATTGTTTACTTTAATCATGCACAATTGAAGAAAGGTTGTCAATAGCTACATTTTTGTTTCTCGTGTGCACAACCAAATTAAATAATAAGCAAGGGCACTATAGACATTTGATATTTTCATCAATTTAAAAAATACAGGAGTATCCGTTTTACCAAATATTTTTTTCAAAAGAGTTTCGGCTCCTTCAGAGAAGCCACTTCTTCAGAGGAGCCAGAGCCGGAGCTGTTTTTAGATGAGCCAGAGCCCTGCCAAACAGGCCCTCAGCTTCTAGCGGGCTCTGGCTTTGGCACTCCAACCCCTACCAAACTCCTGCGAAGAAGCAAGAAATCTGAAGCTTTGGTAACTCCGTGAATACAGAGGAGGAAGTAAAAGCAGGTGGCTCCAATTGCGGAAATGAGAACTAAAAGCAGGTGGCTCCAATTGCGGAAATAGGGAGCAAGAACCCTAGAGAATTGACTTGGTAAGACCTAGGATTCGACCGAAATGCAAGAAAAGATGCTCGAATTGGGGAGAGGAAAGACGGTACCTCTGGTTCCTTGATTGCCTGTTGGGCGCTACCTGCGGCGGCTACTGGTACGGACAGCGCCTCCTTTTGCGTTACTTTCACTTCATTCCCCCCCCCCCTTTATTCTTTCTTTTCTCCGCAATAAAACCGCTTCATCATGTTATTATTGCTGTGTGTAGTTTAACTCATTGAAGTGTTTTAGTTGTACTCCAAGAGTAGTGCTTAAATCTTTTGTTTTCTTCTCTTCGGTAAACTAGTGTTAGTCTTTCTCGGGTAGCCGAGAGTAGTTTAGATGTTATTCCACAAGTGTTAGGGAATAACAGCCACACCATGAGGCAGTGGATCATGTGGCTGTGTGTTTAGATTCGGCAACCGCGGTGCTCCTCCTTCGGAAAATGGCACGAATCACAAAGCAACCTATTAAGCTAATTAATTATTTTCTTTGGGTCACGGTTGGGCTCAACCTGTCCAACTCAGCCCTGAGTCCAGCCCAAAGCAAAATCAACCAAGAGACTAAAAGTAGTGTAATATGTTTTCTTCACAAGTATGGTTACGTTTTAAGGATAATGGGACTATTTCAAGAGAAATGCTTAATTCCTAACGAAAAGGATCAATGTCATCATGTTGCTACATGCTAGACACAAATGAATAGGTGTTTTCTACTATTTACATAATCTACTAGCAAAACTAGTAGAAAAAACGGATGGTCCCCTAGATGGTCCATTGTCTATAAATGGTCCTCTGGTTTTCTCTAGGGAACTCAAAATACAAGATATACTCCTCTTTTGAAATGCATATCAAACCAACGCATGTTGGTGACATTCTGAGGTCTCCTTAAGTAAATTTGTTGGGCTACACACAAGTAGTTACAAAGGGAATAGATTTATTCAAGTCACAAGAATATCAATACAAATGAGAATCAAGCATACCAAGAGAAGACACAAGGATTTGTTTCATCAAAGTTTGGATTCACCATCATTGTACGTCTCTATTGAGGAGCTTTCAAGTCAAGTGCTAAGGGCTAGTCAGCTTCTCTGATGGAGCTGAAATAGTTTTGAAAAATGTTTTAAAAAAAATAGCTCCAGTGAATTTTTTTGTAAAAAATTGTATCAAGCATGTGAGGGAGAAACCACGTTTTTTGTGAATTCGACTTCTCAGTATAAAAATGGCTCTGACTCCCCAAGACTACTTGCAAGGAGACATTTAGTAGACAGTTGTTTGACACGCCTCCATAGCAAAAACCGCAAGAAACCGGAGCCTAAGCTGCCCTAAGTTCATTACCCTCGACCAACAATAGCGCAGGCCAGCTAGTTATCTCCTTGCACGTGCAGGCACTAGTCCAGTCATTTATTTCTAAAGACTTTCAAAGAATACGATTTCCAATCTCAAGATGAACAATCCATTTGTAGTTGATATAAATCAACGATTTGCTTTACGGATTTCTCTTTTAGAAGAAAATAGAGCTTTGCCCTTTTCTACAGACATACTTGAAGCTTTTGCTTTTGGGTGGACAGGGTAGGTGGAGCAGAACTTGCCTTTAGAAAAGTTCTTTGATATCTAGCTAATCATGGTGTTAAGGATGAAATAAATGTGCAACTCTGATTGGTATCACGCTTCAATGGTTTACTCTATATATCTTAGCATCATTTGGTAGTAGTAACTCTCCCACAATTCTTATCCAATATATGTGCAAGCTTTAATCCAAACACACTAGCACATAGGTAGGGGGAGCTAACACTACCAAATTGGGTTTGTGAAACTTGTCCAAATCTTTTCATGTGGTCAAAATGCTTGGGAAAGCAACACAAAATCCAATCCAAGTTAATGGCATGCACTTGTGTATGTTATTAGCTTAGAATTTAAATTTAATTCTTATCTTTATAATGGTTGTCATCGATTACTGAAAAGGGGGAGATTTGAAAGCCCTATGTTTGGTTTGTCTAATTGATACAACAAGTGGACTAACCCTATACTCTAGTGTCGTGATTAAGATAGGTTGGTCCACATCTAAGGATTGAGCAAGGTGGCACTCAATGTGATGGAGATGGTGTAACACCTCTGGTGTTACGAGCTCGTTTAGCACCACCGCGATTTAGGCCTAAGAACAATTTTCGAAACAAGTTTCTTGGATTTTTTATTTAAAACGTATTTGATGTGATAAGTGAATTCTGTGAGACTTAGTTTTGTGGACTCAAATCAATGCCCAAGTTAAATCACTCAGTACGTAAAGATATTTAGGAATATCGGATGACAATTCTATCCAATAGATAGCGAACGGGTTGTTCTATTAGATTAAGCATGAAAAGCAACTTTTATAGATAAATAAAATCCATTAATAAATAGAACGATATATATATAGCTTTCGAATCTAATTTAAATTCGAACTTGTTGCAAATCTCCTTGTGCCTAAATGTTGCTAATTGTCAAAATTAGTAAACCGATAGCAATATCTATAGGTATATATAGATATACTCACGTGTTTATTTTGAGAAGCACGTAACAGACAAGCGGTAGCGCAGCAGCTCTGCAGGCTTCATTTACTTTTCCTGGCGCGGCGTACAGCGTACTCGTTGCATGGCAATTATTCACCGTCACGTCTCTCGTCGTGGCTCTGCATTGCTCTGCACCCCGGCGTGTCCATTTGCCTGCGCCCCTGTCCTTCTCTTCCTCGCTTGCGTCGCGTCCGATATTTTTATGTGAGCGCCAATCGCACCGAACATTCAACCAGCAGCAGGTCATTTTTCTTTTCCCCGCTCTCTCTCGCGCGCCTGTTTTTCAATGCCTCTTGTCTTGTCTCTGTTGTCTGCGCCACTGTCTTTCTATGTCTCACTGCCAGTTCCGTCGCGTCATCTCTGCAGCACCATGAATGCCTCTGCTGCTTTTGCCTACCTTGCTTGTCTATGCTGCCGCGGTCTTATCCTTGTCTGCCCTGCGTTCGTGTTCAAGTGAGACTGAGCCTCACGTTGCTTTTCCCCTTCCTCTCCTTTCCTGCTGTGCCGAGGAGGAGGCGCCCTAGCCCCAGGAGCGCCGTCGCCGGGCCGCCGTCCCTGCTTCTCCCTCCCTCCCTTTTTCCTCTGCCGCTGAGGCCTAGTTGCTACTGCCGCTTTTCGCCGCCGCGCGTGCCCTGCACTCCGGGGCGGCCGTGTTCTCGCTGCCTCCGCATGCCATAGCTCAACGGCGCCGCGTGCATCTCCACCTCCGTGCCGCGCTCCGAAGCGCCCCACTGCTGAGCCGTTTCACCCCCTGTCGTCCGTCGCGAGCCCGAGCCCACCACCACCGCAGTTGCCTCGCGTACCTCTGCACCCCGCCCGTGCCCACCTTGGCTGTCCGGTCAAGCGAGTCGCTGCCCTATCCGCTGGCCATGGACGCGCACGGGCTGGCCGGCTACCGTCGCCTGCTGCGCGAAACGCAGGGGCTAGGGCTAGGTATGGGTGAGGCCGACGTCGCCGGTGACCACCCCGCCGGAATCGATCTTGCCCCGATGCTCCTCTGCTCTACGGTCGCCATGGTACGTGGTCTCGACGCCTGGCACCGTATCCGGCCGTGCCGCGGTCGCCTTGGGGTCACGGAGGGACCCGCACTAGGAGCCGGTCATCCCGTTGTCGCCGTGGCGCCCTTCCCTGCCGGACCGGCCGTCGGTGAGGCCTTACGCGCGTTCCTCTCCTCTGCTCGTGAGAAGGTAGAAGGACCTTAATGCGAATAAAAACTAATATGGGGTCCTCATTGCAAAATACGTGACTCATGTTAATAGGGTT